ACACCTTGGTGCACGACACCTGGTGCACGACACCCTGGTGCACGACACTGTGGGGCACGACACCCTGGTGCACAACACCTGGTGCACGACACCCTGGTGCACGACACCCTGGTGCACGCCCCCTGGTGCACGACATCCTGGTGCACGACACCCTGGTGCACAACACCCCGGTGCACGACCCCCTGGTGCACGCCCCCTGGTGCACGACACCCTGGTGCACGACACCCTGGTGCACGCCCCCTGGTGCACGACATCCTGGTGCACGACACCCTGGTGCACGACACTCTGGTGCACGACCCCCTGGTGCACGCCCCCTGGTGCACGACACCCTGGTGCACGCCCCCTGGTGCACGACCCCCTGGTGCACGCCTCCTGGTGCACGACCCCCTGGTGCACGCCCCCTGGTGCACGACACCTGGTGCATAACACCCTGGTGCACGACACCCTGGTGCACGCCCCCTGGTGCACGCCCCCTGGTGCACGACACCCTGGTGCACGCCCCCTGGTGCACGACCCCCTGGTGCACGCCCCCTGGTGCACGACACCCTGGTGCACGCCCCCTGGTGCACGACACCCTGGTGCACGACACCTGGTGCACGACACCCTGGTGCACGACACCCTGGTGCACGCCCCCTGGTGCACGACACCTGGTGCACGACACCCTGGTACACGCCCCCTGGTGCACGACACCTCGTGCACGACACTCTGGTGCACGACACTCTGGTGCACGACACCCTGGTGCACGACACCCTGGTGCACGACACCCTGGTGAACGCCCCCTGGTGCACGACACCCTGGTGCACGACACCCTGGTGCACGACACCCTGGTGAACGCCCCCTGGTGCACGACACCCTGGTGCACGACACCCTGGTGCACGACACCCTGGTGAACGCCCCCTGGTGCACGACACCCTGGTGCACGCCTCCTGGTGCACGACACCCTGGTGCACGACACCCTGGTGCACGCCCCCCTGGTGCACGACACCCTGGTGCACGACACTCTGGTGCACGCCCCCTGGTGCACGACACCCTGGTGCACGACATCCTGGTGCACGACACACTGGTGCACGCCCCCTGGTGCACGACACCCTGGTGCACGCCCCCTGGTGCACGCCCCCTGGTGCACGACACCCTGGTGCACGCCCCTTGTGCACGACACCTCGTGCACGACACTCTGGTGCACGACACTCTGGTGCACGACACCCTGGTGCACGACACCCTGGTGCACGACACCCTGGTGCACGACACCCTGGTGCACGCCCCCTGGTGCACGCCCCCTGGTGCACGACACCCTGGTTCACGCCCCCTGGTGCACGACACCCTGGTGCACGACACCTGGTGCACGACACCTGGTGCACGACACCCTGGTACACGCCCCCTGGTGCACGCCCCCTGGTGCACGACACCCTGGTGCACGACACCTGGTGCACGACACCCTGGTGCACGACACCCTGGTGCACGACACCCTGGTGCACGCCCCCTGGTGCACGACACCCTGGTGCACGACACCCTGGTGCACGACCCCCTGGTGCACGCCCCCTGGTGTTCGACACCCTGGTGCACGACACCCTGGTGCACGACACCCTGGTGCACGACACTCTGGTGCACGACCCCCTGGTGCACGACACCTTGGTGCACGACACCTGGTGCACGACACCCTGGTGCACGACACTCTGGGCACGACACCCTGGTGCACAACACCTGGTGCACGACACCCTGGTGCACGACACCCTGGTGCACGCCCCCTGGTGCACGACATCCTGGTGCACGACACCCTGGTGCACAACACCCCGGTGCACGACCCCCTGGTGCACGCCCCCTGGTGCACGACACCCTGGTGCACGACACCCTGGTGCACGCCCCCTGGTGCACGACATCCTGGTGCACGACACCCTGGTGCACGACACTCTGGTGCACGACCCCCTGGTGCACGCCCCCTGGTGCACGACACCCTGGTGCACGCCCCCTGGTGCACGACCCCCTGGTGCACGCCTCCTGGTGCACGACCCCCTGGTGCACGCCCCCTGGTGCACGACACCTGGTGCATAACACCCTGGTGCACGACACCCTGGTGCACGCCCCCTGGTGCACGCCCCCTGGTGCACGACACCCTGGTGCACGCCCCCTGGTGCACGACCCCCTGGTGCACGACCCCCTGGTGCACGCCCCCTGGTGCACGACACCCTGGTGCACGCCCCCTGGTGCACGACACCCTGGTGCACGACACCTGGTGCACGACACCCTGGTGCACGACACCCTGGTGCACGCCCGCTGGTGCACGACACCTGGTGCACGACACCCTGGTACACGCCCCCTGGTGCACGACACCTCGTGCACGACACTCTGGTGCACGACACTCTGGTGCACGACACCCTGGTGCACGACACCCTGGTGCACGACACCCTGGTGAACGCCCCCTGGTGCACGACACCCTGGTGCACGACACCCTGGTGCACGACACCCTGGTGAACGCCCCCTGGTGCACGACACCCTGGTGCACGACACCCTGGTGCACGACACCCTGGTGAACGCCCCCTGGTGCACGACACCCTGGTGCACGACACCCTGGTGCACGCCTCCTGGTGCACGACACCCTGGTGCACGACACCCTGGTGCACGCCCCCCTGGTGCACGACACCCTGGTGCACGACACTCTGGTGCACGCCCCCTGGTGCACGACACCCTGGTGCACGACACACTGGTGCACGCCCCCTGGTGCACGACACCCTGGTGCACGCCCCCTGGTGCACGCCCCCTGGTGCACGACACCCTGGTGCACGCCCCTTGTGCACGACACCTCGTGCACGACACTCTGGTGCACGACACTCTGGTGCACGACACCCTGGTGCACGACACCCTGGTGCACGCCCCCCTGGTGCACGACACCCTGGTGCACGACACTCTGGTGCACGCCCCCTGGTGCACGACACCCTGGTGCACGACACCCTGGTGCACGACACACTGGTGCACGCCCCCTGGTGCACGACACCCTGGTGCACGCCCCCTGGTGCACGCCCCCTGGTGCACGACACCCTGGTGCACGCCCCTTGTGCACGACACCTCGTGCACGACACTCTGGTGCACGACACTCTGGTGCACGACACCCTGGTGCACGACACCCTGGTGCACGACACCCTGGTGTACGACACCCTGGTGCACGCCCCCTGGTGCACGCCCCCTGGTGCACGACACCCTGGTTCACGCCCCCTGGTGCACGACACCCTGGTGCACGACACCTGGTGCACGACACCCTGGTGCACGACACCCTGGTGCACGACACCCTGGTGCACGACACCCTGGTGCACGACACCCTGGTGCACGACACCCTGGTGCACGCCCTCCTGGTGCACGACACCCTGGTGCACGCTCCCTGGTGCACGACACCCTTGTGCACGACACCCTGGTGCACGCCCCCCTGGTGCACGACACCCTGGTGCACGCCCCTTGTGCACGACACCTCGTGCACGACACTCTGGTGCACGACACTCTGGTGCACGACACCCTGGTGCACGACACCCTGGTGCACGACACCCTGGTGCACGACACCCTGGTGTACGACACCCTGGTGCACGCCCCCTGGTGCACGCCCCCTGATGCACGACACCCTGGTTCACGCCCCCTGGTGCACGACACCCTGGTGCACGACACCTGGTGCACGACACCCTGGTGCACGACACCCTGGTGCACGCCCCCTGGTGCACGACACCCTGGTGCACGACACCCTGGTGCACGACACCTGGTGCACGACACCCTGGTGTACGACACCCTGGTGCACGCCCCCTGGTGCACGACACCCTGGTGCACGACACCTGGTGCACGACACCCTGGTGCACGCCCCCTGGTGCACGACACCCTGGTGCACGACACCCTGGTGCACGACACCTGGTGCACGACACCCTGGTGTACGACACCCTGGTGCACGCTCCCTGGTGCACGACACCTGGTGCACGACACCCTGGTGCACGCCCCCTGGTGCACGACACCCTGGTGCACGACACCCTGGTGCACGCTCCCTGGTGCACGACACCCTGGTGCACGACACCCTGGTGCACGACACCTGGTGCACGACACCCTGGTGCACGCCCCCCTGGTGCACGACACCCTGGTGCACGCTCCCTGGTGCACGACACCCTGGTGCACGACACCCTGGTGCACGACACCCTGGTGCACGCCCTCCTGGTGCACGACACCCTGGTGCACGCTCCCTGGTGCACGACACCCTGGTGCACGATACCCTGGTGCACGCCCCCCTGGTGCACGACACCCTGGTGCACGCTCCCTGGTGCACGACACCCTGGTGCACGACACCCTGGTGCACGCCCCCCTGGTGCACGACACCCTGGTGCACGCTCCCTGGTTCACGACACCCTGGTGCACGCCCCCCTGGTGCACGCCCCCCTGGTGCCCGCCCCCTGGTGCACGCCCCCTGGTGCACGCCCCCTGGTGCACGCCCCCTGGTGCACGACACCCTGGTGCACGACACCCTGGTGCACGCCCTCCTGGTGCACGACACCCTGGTGCACGACACCCTGGTGCACGACACCTGGTGCACGACACCCTGGTGCACGCTCCCTGGTGCACGACACCCTGGTGCACGACACCCTGGTGCACGACACCTGGTGCACGACACCCTGGTGCACGCCCCCCTGGTGCACGCCCCCCTGGTGCACGCTCCCTGGTGCACGACACCCTGGTGCACGACACCCTGGTACACGACACCCTTGTGCACGCCCTCCTGGTGCACGACACCCTGGTGCACGCTCCCTGGTGCACGACACCCTGGTGCACGACACCCTGGTGCACGCCCCCCTGGTGCACGCCCCCCTGGTGCACGCCCCCTGGTGCACGACACCCTGGTGCACGCCCCCCTGGTGCACGCCCCCTGGTGCACGCCCCCTGGTGCACGCCCCCTGGTGCACGCCCCCTGGTGCACGCCCCCTGGTGCACGCCCCCCTGGTTCACGCCCCCTGGTGCACGCCCCCTGGTGCACGGCCCAACAGATGAAGGACCTGCAGTACGAACATCTGGTACGGTTCATAGGCGTGTGTGTGGACAGCAAGCCGTACTGCGCCGTGTTCACCGAGTACTGCCCAAAAGGTTCTCTCCAGGACCTGCTAGAGAACGAGGACGTCAAACTGGACTCCATGTTTAAGATGTCTCTAATGCATGACATTGTTAAGGTGGGTAGTTAGTGTGTGGCTCAACAACCCGTTCTCCCACTGGCTTAATAGTCAATATTGGCTTATTTATAAGTGCATATGTGACATACGTATTGATTGTGAATATTTTAGTTTACCTTGAAAAGCTTCATAGACAACACCGACCTCACCTAACCTTCTTAGTATGTAAAGATAAGCCTCTTATTGCTTCTTAATTACAATTATTACTTAAGCTATACCGTTGATAGGTTAACTTGCCTAAGGTGTAGTTACAGGAGTCTGGTGGTGTCTCGTCTTCCCAGTACTCTTTGTCCTACCTTCTCAATGCTGCCAAAACGTCTGCCACTCTGCTAAAGTTACCTTCCTAGTGTTTTCTTTAGCTTCATTCGGAATTCCTCTTTGTCAGTTTGGTCTATTCATGTTAGTATTTTGTATGTGGTGATCATATCTCCTCTCTTCTAGTTTTGGGCATGTTTAATGCCTTTAGTCTCTCCTTGTGACTCTTGTTTAGCAGTTCAGGAAACCATTTTGTAGCATTTGGACAACATACAAGTGCTGCATATTCCAGTTTTGGTCTGACATACGTCATGGACAGTTCTTGAGCCTATTGGGCTCTATCATATCTACATTATAAACTGTGTATGGAGTCAGCCTCCACCACATCACTGCCTAATGCATTCTGTTAACTACTCCCACACTGAACAAGGTCTTTCTAACGTCCCTGTGGCTCATGTGGGTACTCAGTCTCCACCTGTGTCCCCTTGTTCGTGTCCCACCAGTGTTGAACTGTTTATCCTTATCTACCCTGCCAATTCCCTGAGAATTACAACTGTTAAAGCCCCGTCAAATCTTAATATTAATACCACCAGACTTCCTATTCACATGAGAAACGTTCAATGATTCAATCCCACACACCTACCCCTCTCCCTCTCTCCTCAGGGCATGGCTTTCCTCCACTCAACTGAGCTTCGAACCCACGGCAATCTCAAATCCAGCAACTGCGTCGTGGACTCCAGATTCGTCCTCAAACTGACAGACTTTGGCCTCCACAACCTTAGAGAGCGAGTCTACTCTCAGGAAGATTATGTCTATTGGAAGAGTAAGTGAGGGAAGACTTAGGATGTGTAGGAGAGAGTTGGATAAAGAGAGAGACAGAGACAGAGAGAGAGACAGAGAGAGAGAGAGAGAGAGAGAGAGAGAGAGAGAGAGAGAGAGAGAGAGAGACAGAGACAGAGAGAGAGAAATCCCTAGAGTTCACAGAAGAATTTGACATCTTGGGAATGAAGTTCGACTCTTCAATGACAATGAAGAGCCATGTGATAAACCTAGCTAAAAAGGCAGCCAGGAAACTTACAGCACTACGGCGCATCTCATATCTTCTTGACAGCAAGGGATGCAAAACCTTATATGAAGCTCAAGTTCGCTCCCATCTTGAGTATGCACCCCTTTCCTGGATTGCCTGCCCCCCATCTTTCGTCAGACTGTTGGACAAAGTGGAGAGACGGGCTAGAAGGCTTATATCTAGTCTTGACCAAGTCTGGTGGGAACGGTCTGAACATCAGTGCCTGCAACACCGTCTTGACGTTGTTGGTCTTACTGTTATGTACAAGGCCAACATCCTTAAAGTTCCGCACTTGGCCCAACTCCGTGGAGTACCATAGTTCCCACTCGTAACACTAGGCTCTCAACCTTCAACAGTCTCATGCTGGAAGTGCCATTCTCAAGAACATCACTCCATCAGCGTTCATTCCTTCCGAGACTTACTCGCATCTGGAACTTGTTCGCTCAACAGATTGATACACGGGAGATCAGGTCAACTGTTCACATGAAGACTCTGGCACACAGCTGGCTACAAGCTCATCCTTTTCCTTATATGATTGTTACTTAATGTTTTTTAATGAATAAAGGCTATTCCTTCTAAAGCAAATAATACCAGGCTCATGATATAAATGGGCATCTAGGAGTAGGTTTCAACTTAGCTTACATAAGATAAATATATGATAGTTCCCAATGTGTTAGTTTCAAAGTATACTCTTATGTAATAAATGAGTTTCTAGGTGTAGGCTTCAGATGAGCTGAGGTAGGATAACAGCTCTTGCTTGCAGTTTCACTAGGTATGTTATTAGGCATCCCTTATGAATCCTAGTCTTAGTTTAAAAAAAAAAAAAGAGAGAGAGAGAGAGAGAGAGAGAGAGAGAGAGAGAGAGAGAGAGAGAGAGAGAGAGAGAGAGAGAGAGAGAGAGAGAGAGAGAGAGAGAGAGAGAGAGAGAGAGAGAGAGAGAGAGAGAGAGAGAGAGAGAGAGAGAGAGAGAGAGAGAGAGAGAGAGAGAGAGAGAGAGAGAGAGAGAGAGAGAGAGAGAGAGAGAGAGAGAGAGAGAGAGAGAGAGAGAGAGAGAGAGAGAGAGAGAGAGAGAGAGAGAGAGAGAGAGAGAGAGAGAGAGAGAGAGAGAGAGAGAGAGAGAGAGAGAGAGAGAGAGAGAGAGAGAGAGAGAGAGAGAGAGAGAGAGAGAGAGAGAGAGAGAGAGAGAGAGAGAGAGAGAGAGAGAGAGAGACAGACAGACAGACAGACAGACAGACAGACAGACAGACAGAGAACAAGTAGAGAACAAAGAGACAAAATGAGACAAATGAGAACCCAACAAACTCATGCACCTTGCTCTTGCAACTAATCACTTACATAACAGATCCCACACTCTACATAACTCTGCACAGATCCCACACTCTACATAACTCTGCACAGATCCCACACTCTACATAACTCTGCACAGATCCCACACTCTACATAACTCTGCACATATGTAAAGTTCAATACACCTGCCACTTGCATAGTCAAGAACCTATAGAACTAGTCAGATGTAGAGTTATTCAGGGCTTTGTCCTGTAATAGTTAGTACTGTACCAATCAGAATTGTACCAATCAGGGCCCAGATTCACGAAGCAGTTACGCAAGCACGTATAGTGCTTGCGTAACTGCTTCATAAACCGACCCTCTTCTGTACCAATCAGGGCCCAGATTCACGAAGCAGTTACCCAAGCACCGATAGTGCTTGCGTAACAGCTTCATGAATCTACCCCCATCTGAACCCATCAGAACCTAATAAAAAGCTAATCTGCCCCCCCACGGCCCATCAGGAAAGCTGTGGACGGCTCCAGAGATCCTCAGACACCCCAACCCCCCTGAAGAAGGCACTCAGAAGGCAGATGTCTACTCCTTCGCCATCATTGTCCACGAAATCATCTACCGGATGGGCCCCTTCTACGTCAGAAACGAAGGCCTTTCAGCTAAACGTGAGTACCTCTGATTGGTAGAGACCTGGGCGTTACCTGATTTTGCCTGGGATATTGGGGGCTTCAGGAGCCGCTATTTAGGAGTGATAGGGTGTGTCTTGAAGCACGGGAGGGCTTCAGGTACGCAGGTTCGAGTCTGTTTCATAGCTTCGTTACTGTTCCGTTTGCTGGGGGAGGGGGGGGGAGGGGGGGAGGGGGGAGGGGGGAGGGGGGGGGGGGGGGGGGGGGGGGGGGGGGGGGAGGGGGGTATGTTGATGTGTTGGTATGTATGCAAGGCTTATCGCATATATTGGTATATCTACCACACATATGTGTATATTGGTATATCTACCACACATATGTGTATATTGGTATATCTACTACACATATGTGTATATTGGTATATCTACTACACATATGTGTATATTGGTATATCTACTACACATATGTGTATATTGGTATATCTACTCTGTATATTTGTGTATCTACCCCCGCATATTGGTATATCTACCTAGTATATGGGTATATCTACCCCGAATATTAGTGTATCTACCCAGCATAGTGGTATATCTACCCTTCCCTCCTTCCTTGTCCCCCCACCCCCCCCCCCCCCCCCCACCCCCCTCGTCCGCTCTACCCCGGACAGTAGAGCGACTGGCGTCTTGCAGGTCCGGGTTCAATCCCCCACACCGTCCCCACAAGTGGTTGGGCTCCATTCCTCCCCTCCGTCCCATCCCAAATCCTGACCCCTTCCCAGCGTCGTGGTGGCTTGGCGCTTTCCCCTTAGAGTTCACTCTTCCCTCTCCTGAAATATAAGGTTAAGGAGAAATTAACTTAATTTGTGTATTTAAAGATATAATTTATTTTCGATGACGAAAAAAGTCTATGGACATTTCAACGAATATTTCATTTTTATTTTTTTTTATATACAGGAGTTGTTACATGGTTGTAAAGCCCCTAGTAAGTGTAGTGTTCCAGGCAGGTTCATAATCCTAATATTCCCCCTGGAACACGACCTGCTAAATAGTTTTACAACCAGGTATATCTGTTTTACTGCTGGGGGAAAAGAGGCTACCGTTAAGGATTGGTGCCCAGTCAATCCTCCCCGAGATACTAACCCGGGCTAAAGCGCTTGCGAAGCGCCAGGCGAGTGTCTTACCACTGCGCCACAGAGACTGACTCTCCCCATGACCAGAAGAGAATCATTGAGAATCATATAATAATTAATATTTCTTAAACCATTTACCGTAGGCCTACGGCACGTGCATCACCAACAGCCTGGTTGACCAGTCCATCAACCACAGAGACCGGGGCCACAGGGACCTACAGAATCCCCACAAAGTACCCGTATCAACCTATGTCCGTCCCATACCACAGACCAGTCCCCCTACAAATTTGTGTGAGACTTGCCCTAAGCATCTGGCCCCCAGCCTCACAGGTACATACACATACACACTTTGTAGAGACACAGGCCGTCCCTGGCTATGTATATGTAGGTGTTCTGGGCACATATGTGACTTCTCCCTTGGAGAGGGGGCATACACCTGACTACACGAAGCTGGAAGAAAAGCTTTATATCACTTGTTTAAAGTCCACAAGAACTGAGTGGGTGGTGGGCCCAGCTGGGTGGTGGTGGTGGGCCCAGCTGGGTGGTGGTGGTGGGCCCAGCTGGGTGGTGGTGGTGGGCCCAGCTGGTGGTGGTGGGCCCAGCTGGGTGGTGGTGGTGGGCCCAACTGGGTGGTGGTGGTGGGCCCAGCTGGTGGTGGTGGGCCCAGCTGGCTGGTGGTGGTGGGCCCAGCTGGGTGGTGGTGGGCCCAGCTGGGTGGTGGTGGGCCCAGCTGGGTGGTGGTGGGCCCAGCTGGTGGTGGTGGGCCCAGCTGGTGGTGGTGGGCCCAGCTAGTGGTGGTGGTCCCAGCTGGGTGGTGGTGGTGGGCCCAGCTGGGTGGTGGTGGGCCCAGCTGGGTGGTGGTGAGCCCAGCTGGGTGGTGGTGGGCCCAGCTGGGTAGTGGTGGGCCCAGCTGGGTGGTGGTGGTGGTGGGCCCAGCTGGGTGGTGGTGGTGGGCCCAGCTGGGTGGTGGTGGGCCCAGCTGGGTGGTGGTGGGCCCAGCTGGGTGGTGGTGGGCCCAGCTGGGTGGTGGTGGGCCCAGCTGGGTGGTGGTGGGCCCAGCTGGGTGGTGGTGGGCCCAGCTGGGTGGTGGTGGGCCCAGCTGGGTGGTGGTGGTGGGCCCAGCTGGGTGGTGGTGGGCCCAGCTGGGTGGTGGTGGTGGGCCCAGCTGGTGGTGGTGGTGGTGGGCCCAGCTGAGTGGTGGTGGGCCCAGCTGGTGGTGGTGGTGGGCCCAGCTGGTGGTGGTGGTGGGCCCAGCTGGGTGGTGGTGGGCCCAGCTGGGTGGTGGTGGTGGTGGTGGGCCCAGCTGGGTGGTGGTGGGCCCAGCTGGTGGTGGTGGGCCCAGCTGGGTGGTGGTGGTGGGCCCAGCTGGGTGGTGGTGGTGGGCCCAGCTGGGGGGTGGTGGTGGGCCCAGCTGGGTGGTGGTGGGCCCAGCTGGTGGTGGTGGGCCCAGCTGAGTGGTGGTGGTGGGCCCAGCTGGGTGGTGGTGGGCCCAGCTGGGTGGTGGTGGGCCCAGCTGGTGGTGGTGGGCCCAGCTGAGTGGTGGTGGTGGGCCCAGCTGGGTGGTGGTGGTGGGCCCAGCTGGGTGGTGGTGGGCCCAGATGGGTGGTGGTGGTGGGCCCAGCTGGGTGGTGGTGGTGGGCCCAGCTGGTGGTGGTGGTGGGCCCAGCTGGGTGGTGGTGGTGGTGGGCCCAGCTGGGTGGTGGTGGGCCCAGCTGGGTGGTGGTAGCTGGGTGGTGGGTGGGCCCAGCTGGGTGGTGGTGGTGGGCCCAGCTGGGTGGTGGTGGGGCCCAGCTGGGTGGTGGTGGTGGGCCCAGCTGGGTGGTGGTGGTGGGCCACCTTGGGCTGGGTGGTGGTGGTGGTGGTGGGCCCAGCTGGGAGGTGGTGGTGGTGGTGGTGGTGGTGGTGGGCCCAGCTGGGTGGTGGTGGTGGTGGTGGTGGTGGGCCCAGCTGGGTGGTGGTGGTGGTGGTGGTGGTGGGCCCTGGTGGGTGGTGGTGGGCCCAGCTGGGTGGTGGTGGTGGGCCCAGCTGGGTGGTGGTGGTGGGCCCAGCTGGGTGGTGGTGGTGGTGGGCCCAGCTGGGTGGTGGTGGTGGGCCCAGCTGGGTGGTGGTGGTGGGCCCAGCTGGTGGTGGTGGTGGGCCCAGCTGGGTGGTGGTGGGCCCAGCTGGGTGGTGGTGGTGGGCCCAGCTGGTGGTGGTGGTGATGGGCCCAGCTGGTGGTGGTGGTGGTGGGCCCAGCTGGGTGGTGGTGGTGGTGGTGGGCCCAGCTGGTGGTGGTGGTGATGGGCCCAGCTGGGTGGTGGTGGGCCCAGCTGGGTGGTGGTGGTGGGCCCAGCTGGGTGGTGGTGGTGGTGGGCCCAGCTGGGTGGTGGTGGTGGTGGGCCCAGCTGGGTGGTGGTGGTGGGCCCAGCTGGGTGGTGGTGGTGGGCCCAGCTGGTGGTGGTGGTGGGCCCAGCTGGGTGGTGGTGGTGGGCCCAGCTGGTGGTGGTGGTGGGCCCAGCTGGGTGGTGGTGGTGGGCCCAGCTGGTGGTGGTGGTGGTGGGCCCAGCTGGGTGGTGGTGGTGGTGGGCCCAGCTGGGTGGTGGTGGTGGTGGGCCCAGCTGGGTGGTGGTGGTGGTGGGCCCAGCTGGGTGGTGGTGGTGGTGGTGGTGGTGGGCCCAGCTGGGTGGTGGTGGTGGTGGTGGGCCCAGCTGGGTGGTGGTGGTGGTGGTGGGCCCAGCTGGGTGGTGGTGGTGGTGGTGGGCCCAGCTGGGTGGTGGTGGTGGTGGGCCCAGCTGGGTGGTGGTGGTGGTGGTGGGCCCAGCTGGGTGGTGGTGGTGGGCCCAGCTGGGTGGTGGTGGTGGTGGGCCCAGCTGGGTGGTGGTGGTGGGCCCAGCTGGTGGTGGTGGGCCCAGCTGGGTGGTGGTGGTGGTCGGCCCAGCTGGGTGGTGGTGGTGGTGGTGGGCCCAGCTGGGTGGTGGTGGTGGGCCCAGCTGGGTGGTGGTGGTGGTGGGCCCAGCTGGGTGGTGGTGGTGGTGGTGGTGGGCCCAGCTGGGTGGTGGTGGTGGTGGTGGGCCCAGCTGGGTGGTGGTGGTGGTGGTGGGCCCAGCTGGGTGGTGGTGGTGGTGGTGGTGGTGGTGGGCCAGCTGGGTGGTGGTGGTGGTGGGCCAGCTGGGTGGTGGTTGTGGGCCAGCTGGGTGGTGGTGGGCCAGCTATGTGGTGGTGGTGGGCCAGCTGGGTGGTGGTGGGCCAGCTGGGTGGTGGTGTGTGGTGGTGGTGGTGGGCCCAGTTGGTGGTGGTGGTGGTGGTGGTGGTGGTGGTGGGCCCAGTTGGTGGTGGTGGTAGTGGTGGGCCCAGTTGGTGGTGGTGGTGGTGGGCCCAGTTGGTGGTGGTGGTGGTGTGGTGGTGGTGGTGGTGGGCCCAGTTGGTGGTGGTGGTGGTGTGGTGGTGGTGGTGGTGGTGGTGGTGGTGGTGGTGGAGGGGGTGGTGTGGTGGTGGTGGTGGTGGTGGTGGTGGTGGTGGTGGTGGTGGTGGTGGGCCCAGTTGGTGGTGGTGGTGGGCCCAGTTGGTGGTGGTGGTGGTGGTGGTGGTGGTGGTGGGCCCAGTTGGTGGTGGGCCCAGTTGGTGGTGGTGGTGGTGGTTGTGGTGGTGAGCCCAGTTGGTGGTGGGCCCAGTTGGTGGTGGGCCAGCTGGGTGGTAGCGGACCAGCTGGGTGGTAGTGGACCAGCCGGGTGGTAGTGGACCAGCTGGGTGGTAGTGGACCAGCTGGGTGGTAGTGGACCAGCTGGGTGGTAGTGGACCAGCCGGGTGGTAGTGGACCAGCTGGGTGGTAGTGGACCAGCTGGGTGGTAGTGGACCAGCTGGGTGGTAGTGGACCAGCCGGGTGGTAGTGGACCAGCTGGGTGGTAGTGGACCAGCTGGGTGGTAGTGGACCAGCTGGGTGGTAGTGGG